ATGTTAGTTTGTTATACAAAATATATACTTCTAATGTGTTAAACCTTATATATATATATATATATATATACACACACACACTTATCTGTGCCTAATTATATTTATAAGTGATAATGCCATAGTGGTAAGTGAAAAATGACAATATTTAACAGTTCCTTTTTCCCCTGTGTTTCTTTAACTGCCCACATTTTACAGCAATAAAGGTGGTATTACCACAATCATTTCCTAGTATTGCAATTGCTCCTTTTCACTGAGTTGCTCCTCTAGCTCTCAGTCCTTATCAGCTAGTAGGAGGGAGAAAACAATTACTCATTGGTGGCTGGCTGTAACTGGTCTGAATCTTTGCAAGGCTTGTGAGACTATAAAGTTGTGCTACTACTTTCTTGGCTGTAGTAGCTTCCAAGACTTGTTACTCACTTCACCAACTGTTTTGGTCTCACCCACACCCCTGGCTGTTGTAGCCCTCCAATACACTCTATTTTCTCCCTTCCACCCACACCCTGTGCCTTCAGCGTTCTTCTTTTATCTCCCTGGAGTACAGATGTGATTCCTTGTTCTCTTAAAGTCCCAGGGAACTTTAAGAGGAATGAACACAATTCATAAGGAAAGAACACTCAGATCAGCAGTCTTGAGTCTTTCCTTTCACAAGGTTCTGTATATTATTTCTATTTCATCAACGTTGGTATTACTGATGACATTTTCTGGTTCTTTATTTCTGAAGTTGATATCATAAAAGAAATCTGTCCTTTTATTTTTAGGTGGATTTCTTCAATTTCTTCTATATGTGAAGCCATCATTAACAAGATCTTGGTATTTCATGCCTCTTGACTACCTGAACAAATTTCCAATCTACTTTGTCTAATGTGCATGCTATCTCCCACTCTAAAGGAAGTAAAGCTTTGGCACTATGATTCTAACAATGTTTCTGCAGTTTCAATTGCTTTAATACATGCCCTTGATCCTTCTGAGGTGTTAATAAAATTCCTATTAATTATAAACTTGTTCTTAAATGTCACATAACTAACATTGAAGCTGGTGACTGGTTAGCTAATATATGCCAAAACTTCAAAAGAAAAATCAGTACAGGTAATCCTCGAGTTATGACTTCTCATTCAGTGACCATTCAAAATTACAACAGCACTGAATGAGTGGTACTTTTGAATGGTCTTCGAAGTTCTGGCTGTTGCAACACCCCACAGTCATGTGATCGCAATTTGGGTGCTTGGCAACCAGTTCACACAGTTGCAGCATCCCATGGTCACATGATTGCCATTTGCAACCTTCTCTGCTGGCTTCCCATGAGCAAAGTCAATGGGGAGGCCAGCAGGGAAGGTAGCAAGTCACTCCCATAAGTCATTCCCACTGTTTTTTCTCCTGAGGAGCTCCACTATGGATTATAAGATCCCAGCACTCCCCTGCCTGCCCACACTCCCTAGAGCACACCCAGGCTTCCTAACTCAAGTTAACTTTTTTTTTTTATTAATCTAAATTTACACTGTTTATTCTTTCAATTTTCCCCATTACCTCACTCTATCATCATATTATTATTATTGTTTCCTGATATCAAAGTATCATCAGTATGACATAATACTTTCTTTAAACTATTACTAGTCTGTTTTGTTTCTTGGCAATCATTGCTTGTTGGGATTTTTCTGCTTTAATTACTTAAATTAGGACTGTATAACTTGTAGTAGCTCAAAACCTGCACCAGATTGTGCAGCATGTCAAGGGCCATACTCCATAAGTAACTGGAGACAAAGCCTATCTGTGGAGATGTTTCAGGAGTTTTAAGAGAAGAAATGAGTGCCTTAAGCACAACCAAA